TTTTTAAAGGACTTACTTTACTTATTACACATATGTATGTATGTGTGTATACACACTATATATATATACACACATGTATATGTATACACACATATATATACACACACAGATCTTCCACCCACTGGTTCACTCCCCAAGTGGCCACAACAGCTGAAGCTGAACTGATCCAAAGTCAGGAGCCAGGATCTTCTTCCAGTGGGTGCGGAGTCCCCAGGGCTTTGGGCCATCTCTGCTGCTTTCCCAGACTGTATGCAGGGAGCTGGAAGGGAAGTGGGGTGGCCAAGACATGAACCGGTGCTTACATGGGATCCCAGTGGTACAGGCAGGTTAGCCCACTAAGACACAGTCCCGGCCCTGAGATGCTTAGTTTTTGCTGGAGTGTGGTGGAGAAGGAGGTGATGGAGAGGAGGGACAGAGCCACTGTGCCAGTCACAAAGCTCAACCCACTTGGGCTGAAATGTGACTTCAATGTAAAATCACAGAATGTGTGGTGGGGAACACTGGACACTAACTGCATGTCTTCGGCATATCAGAGAATCCTGGAAGATTGGTTCCTAAAGTACCGCTCATAGAGGAGCACGTACGCAGGCTAAACTGGGTTAAAAACCACACAAAATGCTAGTGAGCAGGCAGCACACCCAGCTCTGTTAAAACCCTTTCGGGAAAGCAGACTGGTGTTCTCCCAGGCACCCTCACTGGGGGAGCAGCCCCCCGACTGTGAGTGCTGGCTAGCTGAGCACACAGGTGCTGCCCCCTGCAGGCTGGTGCCCCTGTGACCACTGCCTGGATGTGTGCTGGGCTCCCTCAGCTCAGGATGGGACCACGACCCGCGTGGAGAGAGCAGCAAGTGCATGCCAGGCTTGTCACAGCAGCAGACGTGGAGCTGGTGAGAGGCTGTGGTTGTAGGTGGGGCAACCCTGCACTTCGTGGCCTCCAGTCATTTGCTCATTATTTTTGACAAGTGCCGTTTGTACTCCTCTACCTGTTCCACAAGAATGGGGAAAGCTGACAGGTGATCCCATCTGAGTTTGCTTGGGGTAAGCATGGGGTACAGCTTTATGTGGAAGGATGCCCCAGGCCCAGCTGGGAGCAGAATCCATCAGGAGCAGCAACACCAGGCTGGCCAGAGGGTGGGGGTGCAGTGACAAAGATCCCTCACCTTGGCCACTGCAGCTGGAGCTGAGCCTGGGGCTTCCCTTCCTTTGCAGGGGCAGAGCATCTGGACCAGTGCCCTGCAGTTCAGAACCCCCACCACCTTATGGGTCGTGCCTGAGGCCTTGGCCCCCCAGCACCTCTCCATGGTCTGACCACTGGACTGGCTTGGCTGTGTGAGCAGCACATTTGTCCACTGTCCTCCACTGCTGGCAGCCCTGTCCTCTAGGCAGGGAAGAAGGTCCTGCAGGAGCTGAGCCATGCTGGCCAGGGAGGTACCACCAATGCTGGGCCTGTCACGTGTATGCCAGGAACAGCCAACCTGTACGAAAACAGACCATCACAGGACAACTAGGGGATACGCCCACCAAGGAACACCTGGGGCCATGGCCACCACAGGGTGACAGCTGAGAGCCTAGTACTGGATGAACTGGACCCTTTTCCAGCCCCTAAGACATTGTGAGTTCCAGTGGTGACCTCCCTAGTCAGGCCAGCCCTGATCTAAGGCTCTGTCCTGCTGGCCTCTATCTTGGCCCAGGAGGTCCAGGCCCCTGATCACTGCACTGGGGGCCCAGCTCTTGCCACCTCTGCATGCAAGGCTGGGGCTGCTCCTGCTTGCCACCGCCTCAAGTCCTGGCTGCTGCAGTCCCTGCCGACCATGCTGGCTCCACCCCACACTCCTCATGGCAAAGTGTTCCTGTGAGCTGCTCCACCCCATAGCACAGCACCCATGGGTGTCCAAAGTCATCTCCCAAGCCTCATGGTAGGAGATGGCAAAATCCATAGGGCACCTTGCTCAGCTGTGCACAACTTCAAGATAAGGCAAACACTTTGACCTGCGCCTTGAACTCCTAAACCAAGAGGCCTCCCCAAGTTGGGGCATGTTCAGAAACTGGGGGTCTAAATGCTGCAGCTGGAAGAGTTCCAGATGCCACGTGGGCACATCCTGGGACTAGAGAGCGGGGTCCAGAAGGTGGAGGTGCGGTGGCCACCAGGGAATCTTCATCAGCTGTGGAATCAAATGTGACTCTTGTGTCTGGACCAGACAGAGGAACTCTCTGGGGCCACAGGGAACAGTGGTGCACCCATGGGGAAGGGCTTCCTCGAGTACTGGCAGAAATCAACCCTGACCACACAGCCTACATTGCTAGAATAGGCTCACAAAAGAGCACCACAAAAGCGAACAAGTATGAGTGAGAACTGGCATGAACAGAAATCACAAAACATGAATTCTCGAAGTTTCCCATTTGGAATTTTGTGACAGTTACAGGCATAAGCCATGTTTTTTTTTTTTTTAAGATTTATTTTATTGCAAAGTCAGATAGGAGGACAGACAGAGAGGAAGATCTTCCGTCCGATGATTCACTCCCCAAGTTGACTGCAATCGCCGGAGCTATGCTGATCCAGAAGCCAGGAACTTTCTCTCCCACGTGGGTGCAGGGTCCCAAGGCTTTGGGCCTTCCTCGACTGCTTTCCCAGGCCACAAGCAGGGAGCTGGATGGGAAGCGGGGCTGCTGGGATTAGAACCGGAGCCCACATGGGATCCTGGAGCGCTCAAGGATCCCAAGCAGGATCCCAAGACTTTAGCCACCAAGCCACTGCACCAGGCCCAGGTCTTTACTATACAATCCAAGTAAGCCTGGCTCAACTCCCATCCTGGCCCTGCCCATCCCACTGCCCGGCTGGCTCAACCCCTGCCACCCCTCCCCCCTCCACTGCCCAGCTCAGCTCCTGGTGCCCACCCCATAGCCCAGCTCAGGTCCCCTGCACCAGGCCCTGCACCTGTCACCCTCTACCCCAGAGGCACTGTTGAGCGCTTCAGCTCATGCTTAGCGGTGTTGAGGGAGGATGAGGGCAGTCTTGGTTCTTGCCTCAGAGTATCCACACAGCAGTGAGAGCCTCCTGGGGAGCAGCTTCCTGGTGGCCAGGCACATAATGGCTCACTTTGATTGGTCCATCTCTGAAGTCAAACCTGGATTTAACCAATCGGGGGCAGGGAGAGGAAACAGAATAACAGCTAATCAAAAGGCGGGGATTACAAGCCTAACTGGCAAAAAAAACCAAACGTAGTTAACTGTCCTAACTGCCCTAGCTGCCCCAGGCTGACCTCACTGACCTAACTGCCCCAAGGACAGCTAGGAGGGGCAGGCACAAGGCTGAAGGATGCACAGTGAGATCAGTCAGCAGTCATAGTGCGCACAGCTAACCACAGTGACAGGAATGTACCAAGTTGGCACACAGACACATGATCGTGTTGACAGAGCACACGGGTACATTTACATTCCCAGCAGCCTGCACCTGGTGTATGCCTTGCTGCAACCTTGGCTGCCCAGGCTGCTTGCCCAGGACACCATGCTGCTGCCAGCTGGTGGCCAGGCTACAAACCCCAAGGATCCTTCAGACACCCCCTCACCCTGGCTGAGAACCCCTGAGGGAGCTCGGGCCCCAGATGCCCACACCTTGCCTCTGTGACACTCCTGTTGCCTGCAGTGGAACCAGAACTAGGCTCTGCAGGCCCAGGGGACCCTGTCCTCCCTGAGCTCAGGCCCGTCTGCCCCCTGACAGCACCTGCTTGGCAAGGCTGGTGCTCCAAGCCATGTGCCTAGTGGGTGGCTGGTCCACCCTGTGCATGCCCTGGCCCCTGTGGTTGCTGTCTACTGGTGGGGTTTGGGGTCTCTTCTGTGCACAGGGTGTGGCTGCAGACACCAGGGTACTCCAGAGGGCACAGGGTGCAGACAAGGGCTGAGCGATCTTGGCTTCCATCTTGGAGGGTTACCCGCAGTTCTCACTGCAGCTGCTGCTTAAAGCCCCCTTTTCCTGCTGTGGGTCAACAGTCTGAGAGACACTGAATGTGGCCCACAGACACCCCCAGAGCCACCTGTGGCCCGGACCCTGCCTCCACATGGTGCCCAGACCACACACTCCTGTCCTAAAGTTGTGGGGGTGAAGGCCAGCACTGCACATGGCAGAGCCTCCCTGGCTCACATCCACTGAGCAGCTGGGAGCAGAGAAGGAGTGACTGCTGGGGCCCAAAGCAGGTGGGAGGTAGCCCGGGGTTGGGGAGAGTGCCAACCAGCCCCCTTGGGCAAAAGTTCTGGAGCCAGTCAGCTTCCAGCTGTGTCCTGCTTGGTGGCGGGTGCCCATCCACAGCCACAGAGCAGGGCTGCCAGGGACCCAAAGCAAGCACCCCCCACTGCGGGTCTTGCCCAGTGCACTTCTGCAAACCCCCACCCCGCCCTGAATTTCTGGGGCCCCTCAGGCTGAGGGCTGGGGAGCAGAGACCCCTGTAGCCACGCGAGCGCCATGGGCTAGACCGGCTGCTGGAGCCTGCGGGATACGAGGAACTGGGCCGGAAAGCGGGAGCTTTGGAACGTCTGCCACTGCTGTTCCCTGGCGCTGGACCTTCAGTGGGGGGGTTGTCCCGCGTGGCCCTGCCCGATCCAGGAGGCCGCGGCCGCGGGAGCTTCCTCTGATCTCCACACTGTCCTGCGGGACGCCCTTCACCATCCGCAGCACCCGCACCCGGGAGCCCCCCCAGGCACGCGCGCAGTCTTCCTGCCCCGGTTCCCACGCCGCCCTCTGGAGCCGGCCTTATAAGGCAGAGGCGGCGCCTCCCCGCGCCCGCGCGCTCGTGGGCGGGCCCGGGGCGGGGCGGGGGTGCGGAGCCGGCCGGAGAGATGCGGGGGGCGGGCGCGAGGGGCGGGGCCTGGGCGGGGGCGCGGTCGCGCGCGTGCGGGTCGCGGAGGCGCCGCCGCTGCCGTCACCGCGTCCCGAGCTGAGCCGCCCGGCTGCGGGCTGCGCGCTGCCCAGGCCGCGCGCGGGGGCGCGGGGGCGCGAAGGTGCCGAGCTCCGGGAGGTGCAGGCCGCGGCAGGCCAAGAGGAGCCGAATCTTCAGGAACGCCCGCCGGAGCGCGCAGGTGCACGCAGGTGAGCGAGGTGCGTGGACGCCGCCCCAGTGCCGGGGTCAGCTGCCTGCCAGTGGGCTCCCAGTGTCTCTGGTCTCCCGCGAGTGCGCGTGCGCTCTGCACCGTTCTCCTGGGCTGGAGACACAGACCCCCGCAGGTTCAGCGCTCGATGCTCCTGGGCCCCGGGTCACCTGGTCCTCGCAGGTGACGCGAACCCGGCGTGTCCGGGAACGGTTTTAGGCGTCCGACGGAGGGACCGGGATAGCCGCCCGAGGCCTGCTTGGGCTCTCGCGCCGCCGGTCCTGCTGGTCTCTGGAACCGGGAAAGTCTTGGGGGGGCGGTGGGGAGGGGCCCGGGAGGTGGCGGGGCCGGGGGAGCGGGGGTGGGGGCGGCGCGAGCGCCTGTCCCGGCGCCCCGAGGCGTGCGGGTGCGCGGCCGCCTGGTGCGGGTGCGGCGCGAAGCCCTGCGCACCCCAGGGCGAGCAGGTGCGGCCCGGGGCCGTCGCTCGCTGTGGTCCGGCTGGTGGTGTCTCTGCGGAGCCCGCACGCAGGTGTCTTCGCCGCCGTGCGAGGCCGCTCGTGTGCGTGGGCAGCTCGTTGCTGTCGCTGCCCCCGCCGAGGCCTGCGCGCGGCGCCTGCCCCGGAGGCCGACGATTGAAAGCTTCCTTTGGGAGGCGGCGCCGGCTCGGGCGGGGCTGCGGCGCTGTCTCCCGCGCCGACCTGGGCTGAAGCCCGCAGGACCGCGTCCACCAGCCCGACCGCCACGCTCGCCCGGGCAGGTGCGGCCGTGGCGCAGGAAGACCCACGCACACCCAGCACACCCCTGGGGAGTAAGGGGCGGTCGGCCCACACCCATCCCCGAGACTCGGCGTCCTCTGGGGCAGCCTGGCGCTGCACCCCGGCTCAGCGACCTCTTTGGAGGCCCCAACCTCGCGGTCTAGACCAGCTCTGTTTCTGGACTTGAGGCCCATGTGGCCTGCTGTGAGCCCAGTCCTCTGGCCCCTGGGCGCCCCCTGACCCATTCGGTGAGCCTGAGGCTTAGCTCCTCGCAACCCCACCCCCCGGTGAGTCCCTGGGCAACCCTGCGGGAGTCTCAGATTTTCACGGGGTGAGATAAGCGGTGGTGCCTGCAACCTGACCCCATCGTCCGTGTTCAGGGGCCTAGATGGGCAAGGGACACTGCCAGGTGGCCCTCCTGGGGACCGCACAGACGCGGAACCTCCCTCCATCAACCCTGCACACAAACCCGTGTTCACTGGCTGGACCCTTCACCTGACCCCTAACGCTGACCTCAGCCTCGCCTGGCCCCACCTAGACTCTGGACCCTGCACCCCCTCCCACGCCCTGCTGCTCCTGGGGTGCTTGTGCAGGTGGCCTGGCTGGGCAGGCACAGGGAGGGACAGAGAGAGGGCGAGTCGCTCCCCCTCACTCCCACTGCCCACTGCAGTCAGGGCTGACTGGAGCCCAGGAGAGGCTGGGCCTGCGTGCTTGAGGGTCCGTGCCGCTGCAGGAGCTGGGCGGGGTCCAGGGAAGGGGGAGGTCTCAGAAGACGCAGCAGCAGTTGCACTGCCCGCAGGCCCTGGCACCTTCACGTGCATCAGCCTTGACATGCATGTGACACTGTCACCTCCGGCCATCATAGGTGCTGTCCCTTGGAGCTGGCTTGTTTGGTGAGCCAGCCCCCTCTGCACTGAGCTTCCTGCTGCTGGCGAAGCTGCCCCTAGGGTGCAGGACTGGGGCCCACCCAGAGCCAGGTGGGGATGGCCCCAGGGTTCAGCCATTCACTCCCTCAGCTGCTGTCCTGTCCCTGGCAGGGAGCCCCCAGGGCCTCTTAGATCCCCTGCCTCCGGCAGGGTGGGCACCTATGTGGCTCTGTCCCTCCTGTGAGCACTTGCTGATTGCCCAGTGGCTCTGGAGCCACTTTGTCTGGCGTGGCTTCCACACTGTCCTCATACTATCTCCATGAGGGGCACTGTCCCCTGTGCTGTCCTCCCTCGACATGAGGATACACCTTGACCTAGAGTGAGTCTGCACCCGGCTTAAGCTGGACTGTGTGTCCCCTCTGCCACCCAACTTGGGCTGGCTGTGTGTCTCTCCTCTGCCTGTCCCTTTGTCACCTCTGCCCAGGCCCTTCGCTGAGGTCACCCTGCCTGGGAGCCAGTCCATTGCCCCTACTGCCCCCTGTGACCCATGACAGCCCTAGAAAGGAATTGGCCACCCCAAGGCCCTGCTGCTCCATGGGATTTGGGGGTTCTAGGCAGCTATGTGGGGTCCCCATGCCTGTAGACCCCAGCGTCTGGGTGATAACTGGACCTCCTTACTGTCTCAGGCTTGTGTAGGTCAAGGGGTACAGCAGGGCAAACAGGTGTCTCAGAGACAGATTGGGATCTGCGGGTGTCCATGGGTACCTGTGGGTGTTGATGGGTGCCTGTGGGTATTGGTGGGTGTCCGTTGGTACCTGTGAGTGTTGGTGGCATTGGTGTCTGTCCACGGGTGCCTGTGGCAGCTGCGCCTTTTAGCTGGACCCCAAGGTTGCAGTGTCCCCCACAGGGGGTCTGTGAGTCCTCCTGTTCCTGGTCATCCTGGGAACCTGTAGGGAGTTTTCTGGAGAGTTCTGCCCCCCTCCTCCAGCTTGTAAGGAGTGGGCCTCATTGGGAGACCAGCTGCTTTCTGACCCCAAACCTGTGTGTCTAAGGCCCCATGGCCACCTTTAAAGTGATCACATTCTCCAATTTCAGGATGAGGGATGGTACCCTGAAGTCACTGGCAGTGGCCCAGACGCAAGTCCTAGCAGGTCCTGGCATCCCCAGCTCCTTGGTCGCAGAGGTGGCCACGTGGGGGAAGAGGCCTGGCGCCGTGGCCTCTGCGATTATGTCAGCGCAGGTGCCTGGGGCGCCGGCACTGCGTCCCACGGAGGCTGGGGCTTCTGCAGACACAGAAAATGCCTGCTTTGTGCTGGCTGGGGCGTCCCGAGTGCAAAGGAGGGGGCATGGCTGGTGGATGGGGGCTCCCGGCTGTGGGTGGCCTTTGTTCCCAGGGGCCACTGCCCCGCCTCAGCCTGACGTGGAAGGGCCAACCTCCTAGGGTCTGGGGGTCTCGGGGACCCAGGACCAGGCAAGAGGTGGCAGCCAGCGTGGAGGTGACATCGCTCTCCAGCCAAGGCTTTGGTGTAGCCGACCTGCGGCTGTGTCACCTCAGCCTCATCCTTCCAGCGTGCCCGGCTCTCAGGTGGGTCAGGGGCCGTTCCCGCCTGGGCTTTCTGCCCCCGCAGCAGCACCCTGGGGTCAGCGGTGTCCATGGCTACCTGTGTGGTCCTCGGGCCCTCCACTCCCCTGCCCTCTGCCGGGCAGCTGTGGGGCCTCCTGGCCAGGGCACCTACCGCTTTAGCCACATCATGACCCCCGGAGGGTCCAGCATAGAAGGAGACCTACCCAGGCTGGACCTCTGCAGGGGACCCTGCATGTCGGGGGCCTAAGACCCACTACCTACAGGGACTGGCAACTTGGGAGACTGCTTTCTGCTGCAACCTGCCACCCCGCACTGGGCTCCCAGCACCCCCAGCTCCTGGTCTCTCCCTGCCCAAGCTCCCTATATCTCCCTAAGTCCAGGGTCCCCCTAGTTCCCATCCCTCCAGACCCAGCAAGGGTGGTGCTCTGCCTCAGGAGGCAGAAGTTTGGGAAAGGAACCCTGGGCCCAGTTAGTCCACTTGCCAGTCCTGGGGGCCTGGCTGGGGTCTTCAGGGGTGCAGTGGTGGGTCAAGCCCTGCAGCCATGGCCACCTTGGGTCCCCACTGACCTCAAACAAGGCCCCCAACTCTAGCGGGGCAGGAGGCAGACAGGTGTGCTCACCTCCTTCTGGCACATAAGCGTTTGCTAGTATGCTGGTTATCTGTGCAGGGGATGAGGAGCTTGCTGGGTGGGGTCCCAGAGGGTTCCTATGTGGGCTCCAGGGCAGGCAGAGGCTTAAGATGGTTATACTGTGGGAAGGGATTCCTACAGGACAAAATGGGGACCCCAGCCTGAGTGGGCACCACAAAGGGTCATGGGAGGTATCCTGCTTAGGCCAGGGGGCAGTGAGCACCCAGACTGGCTGTTGACAGCAGCTGGCCCAGACTCCCAGTACTGATGCAGGGGCGTCTGTACACCCTCCAGCCCTCCCCGTCCTAGTTGTGCCCCCTCCCAGCCCTGGCTGTGCCACTCACCAGCTTCTCCTCGCCAGCTGTGCCTTCCTCCCCCTGGCTGTGCCCCCTCCCAACTCTGGTTTTGACACTCACCAGCTCCTCCCTGTTCCCCACCCCCACGCCACTCCACTGCAAGCTCAACTTCTCCCCCTATCCTGCAACATGCAGCTTAGGTAACTAAGAGGTCCCTACCTCAGCAGCTTCCCCACCCCCTCCTGTTGACTGGCCTCGCCCTGGGCGGTGGCCACATTCTGAACTGGGCATGGGGCAAGGCATGCCATGGGTGGGGCACAGAGCCCACCCCTGGGCATTCATGACACACCCCACACCGAGGAAGTGGCCCTGCCTCCTTGCTTGGGGGCTCAGTCTCTCCCACTCCTCAAGGCTAAGATTCAGCCCCCCAAAAACTAGGGGTTGGGAAAGGGGACCTTTGGCGTTTGAAACTGTTTGGACACTTGGCATCTGTCCAAACCTACTCTCCTGTCCACACACATGCATGTGTGCACACTACACACACTGGGCCTCGTCTGCCACAAGGCTGCCTACTGGCCTTCTCTGCACCCTGTCACTGATAGGCCAAGGATATGAAGCCTGCTGTCCCCACGCCACAGCACCACCTGCCGTGGGTGGTTTGCAGGCAGAGGACAGAGCTTCCTTCTGAGACAGATAGAGCCCAACAAGCACTCTGGACACTTGTGGCGCTAGGGCAGGGCCAGGCACCACCCAGGGGGTACAGGATCTGGGCCGTTAGCTGCTGTGCTCACTGGGGCTGCAACAGGGTCTTCTGCATCGCCCTCACTTGTGGGACACAGAAGCATATGGGAAGCCCCTCTCCCTGGCCTACAGACAAGCATCACCTTGGGTCGTCCTCATGATTGGATGCTAGTCCAAGGCGCCATAGGGTGGGCCCACACAGTCATGTATGATGGTCTCCCGCATTCCAACACTGCTTGCCTGCCCCGTGAATCACTCCAGCTGTATACACAGCCACACATTTGCTGCCATACTCTGCTGGGAGCTCTTGAGGCGACCCCTTGTGCTTCTGGTCCCATTCCAGAGAGGCCACACTGTGGTTGTGCCTGAAAGTGGTGCTGGCCATGCGCCTTGTGCCTGGACAGGACCCAGCTCCCAAGCCTGAGGCCCTGGCCAGGAGCAGCTCCATGGGGATGGCTACTTCCCAGTGCGTAGAGCTACTCTGGGCTTCCAGCCACCCCACGTCCCTGGGTTCCCCTCTGTAGTGGGAGACTCAGCATGAGGCTGGGGGCAGCCTGGATACCCTGGGCGGGAGGGGTGGAGCAGAGGGCATGGCCCTGTTCGCTCCTGGGAAGGGGGCTTGTGTGGCTCCCAGGAGGGCCTGGCCCTGGGATGCAGTGTGGTCAGCTGGCCTCTGTGCTGTGACCCACGGTGATCCTGGTTCCTCCCTTCTTCCTCCCTAGCATCATGGCTGATGGGAAGACCAAGGTTGCCAAGACTGCCAACAGGACACCCCCCAAATCCCCAGGGGACCCCAATAAGGACAGGGCAGTCAAGAGGCTGTCGCTGGAGTCCGAGGGTGGTGCCGAGGGAGTGGCCGCAGCAGTCCCAGAACTGAGTGCCCTGGAGGAGGCCTTCCGGCGGTTTGCAGTACACGGAGATACCAGGGCATCTGGGAAGGAGATGCATGGCAAGAACTGGTCCAAGCTGTGCCGGGATTGCCAGGTGATTGACGGGAAGAATGTAACGGTCACTGACGTGGACATCGTCTTCAGCAAGATCAAGTGAGTGTTGTTGGTCCTCAGGGCAGCTCTGTGTAGGGAGGAGGTGGGTGCAGGGGCCTCTGTGTCAAGGGCAGGCAGAGGGCACCCATTCCTGCCCACTTCTTGCCCGGTTCTCTGTCCTAAGCACAGGTGTGTACCATGTTCATGCCCCCTGGCACACATAGGTGGCTATACACATGTGCAGGTGTAGTTTCACACACATGTATAAGTGTGCTATGTTCATGGACACACATACCCGTGGCCACACATGTGTGCAATGTTCATGGACATACACAAGCCATGGTTACACACGTGTGTAGCTGTGTGCTGCGATCATGGACACACACATGCATGTGTGCTGTGTTCCTGCCCACGGGTACACATGCACACATCTACGGCCACACACGTACAGGTGTGTTGTATTCATGGACATGCAGACACCTGTGGCTACACACATGTGCAAGTGTGCTGTGTTCATGCCCATGGGTACACACACACACCTGTGGCTGTGCAGGTATGCTGTGTCCATGGGCGACATGTACACACACACGTTATATGGTTTTTTTAAAAAGATTTATTTTTATTATTTTTTTTATTACAAAGTCAGATATACAGAGAGGAGGAGATAGAGATGAAGATCTTCCGTCTGATGATTCACTCCCCAAGTGAGCGCAACGGCCGATGCTATGCCGATCCGAAGCCAGGAGACTTCCGGGTCTCCCACGTGGGCGCAGGGTCCCAAAGCTTTGGGTGGTCCTCGACTGCTTTCCCAGGCCACAGGCAGGGAGCTGGAAGGGAAGCAGGGCTGCCGGGATAGAACCGGTGCCCATATGGGATCCCGGGTGTGCAAGGCGAGGACCTTAACCACTGCACCACCACGCCGGGCCCACGTTCTATGTTTTATGGCTGTGGCTGCCTGGTGCCACTGGACTCTCTGGTCACCACAGCAGAAGGCCAGGTCTTCAAAGTACCACTGGGCACCAGGATGGGAGCTGTGGGATGTGCAGGGTGACCTTTGAACTTGTGGGTCCTCGTCCAGCCCCTTGTGTGGTGTCTGGCAAGCCATCCCAAGTGGGTCCCAAATGCTGACTGGGGATAGGAGACTGGCCACCAGACAGCCCTAGTTGCCACTCACTGTCTTGGTGTCCAGGTCCACATTGCAAGTGGTCAGCTGGAATGTGGACAGAAGTCTCTAGCCCAGTGCCCAGCACTGCCTGTATGCAAGGGCAGCCACAGGCTGGGCAGGAAGGGGGCAGGGGCAGCTCATGCAAGGCCTGTCCAGATGCTACCATGTCCCCACATATAGGACTTGTGTCCCTTCCACACACATAGGATATGCATCCATGCATGCAGGACACATACCTGCACACACACACAGAACATGTGTCCCTTCCCCCACACACATATAGGACACCTTTTCCCTATTCCCAACCCGTGGGACTCATGTTTTTCCTGGTCCACTGTGAGGACAGTGCTACAGGGGCATGGACGTGCCAGCTGAGGCCCAGTCTCCATTGCAGGACCTGGGTGGCCATGGCCCAAGGGAGCAGTTGTGACCTTAGCTGGGAAGGGCTGTGATCTGTCTACCTGCAGGCACTGACCTTATCCAGCCTGGCTCCAGGCCTGTGTGCATTCTGAGGGGGAGGGGGATGGGTGGGTCATGCAGGAAGTAGGGTCGCAGGTACTGTGGAGTCACTGGCCGCCGGCCGTGTCTGTTTTCCAGCCGTTGCCGGGGCTGCATGGGCTGGGCGCCAGCTGGGGCATCTGCGGCCTTTGTTGGGGCTGGTCGCCATGGCCACGGCTGTTTGTTTGGATGTTACCATGAGCCGAGTCCCAAACACACGGGCAGCTGCACACCAGGTCAAACCGGAGACCCTGCTGCAGGGAGCCCACATGCATGGGAAGGGCTGCCAGGGCCTGGGGACTCAGACCACATGTGTGTGTGTCTGCCTGTGGGTACCTGCTGCTTCCCGCCTATACCACCAGATCCTGGACAAGTTCAGTGACCTCACCCTGGCCTGTAGGGGGAGGGGGCTGGGTGGAGCCTCCTTGGGCCTTGGCTTATCCTGAGCCTGCATGTGCTTTGTCAGCAAGGGGTGTGTGGAGTACCTGGGTAGGCTGCTTGGAGCCATGTGCTGGAGCTGATGTGCTAAGGGCCGCTGCCAGGGCAAATGAGTCACCCCAGCCCCAGGCCCCATCTCCATGGGAGGCACATTGGGTCCTGACCTACCCAGTGTCCCATCCCTGGACCCTCTAGTGCCACCCAGGGCAGCAGAGACAGAGTGGGACCCAAGGTGGGTGGAGGGGTCCACGGGGCCAGCCTGCACTGCAGCTCCATGATGTCCTCAGCCAAGCAACCGGAGAGGCCCTTCCCCAGCTCCTGTGGGGACAATGTGGGGGTTCCAGGTCTGGTCCCTATGGGGCATCTAGGTTCTCATGCCCTGGGTTCTCCTTGACAGTCTGCAGAGGTATCTGGGGGACCCCAATAGCCCAATGGGAGGCAGGAACTGAGTGACATTATCTGCTGCTAGGATCAGCCACCTTGTTTGGAGGTGAGGGCCTGGCAGGGCTGGGGGCAGGGAGGGCAGCTGTCTAGTCCTCATGGGTGTGACCTACAGTTGAGCAGCCCCTGCCCTACCCAGGATGATTCACTCTGGTGTTGCCTGTGTTGCCAGTTGAAGCACCCAAGGGATGGCTGGGCAGGAACTTGACTAGTAGATGGGACAGAATTTGAGAGCCCCTGGACAACCCCATTGCATGACCAAGCGTGGTGATCAAGGTCCACATTCCTAAGTACCCGAGGTGCTCTGACCGTGCCCATTCCTCTTGGCACCTTGCTGTGCATGCAGGACCCCCAGCAGGAACCAATGGACAGGGTGGAGGTGACTGTGCAGGTGAGTCCTGTAGGAGGACTGTAGGACAGTGGACAGGGTGGTGGTGGCAGTGAGGTGAGCAGTGGAAAGGAGGAGGTGACTGTCCCGCTGAGTCCTTTTTGGCAGCAGTCAGAGCGCTCTACCATCTACAGGCATGTGTAATTTGTGTTCTCTGGGTGCCAGGGCATATCTGGCCCTGCTCTTTCATCTTCTTGTCTTGAGAATGAGCCCTTCCTTCCTGGAAGCCTTGGTTTTTGGTTGCCATCAAAGGGTTGCCCAGCCCTAGCACCACCCAGTACAGGCTGCCCCAGCCATGCCTACTTCAGGCTGTCCCGCCCACTGCAGGCTGCCCAGCTCTCAGCTCCACCCAGTGCAGGCTGCCCCGCCCGCAGCAGGCTGTTCCAGCCATGCCCACTTCAGGCTGCCCCACACACAGCCTTGCCCACTGCAGGCTGCCCAGCTCACAGCCCTGCCCAGTGCAGGCTGCCCCAGCCACATTCACTTCAGGTTGCCTTGTCCACATCCCCTAGCCTTGCCCACTGCAGGCTGCCCAGCCCACAATCCCACCCACTGCAAGCTGCCAGCCCACAGCTCTGCCTACCATAGGCTGCTCTCAGAGTCCCAGGAGGGTAACAATGGGGCACAGTGGCAGAGGCCTTCATGAGTGAGTCCAGGCTGCATGGTTGCTTTGCTTGCCCTCATGGCCCTTCTCTGCAGGGGCAAAGGCTGCAGGACCATCACCTTTGAGCAGTTCCAGGAGGCCCTTGAGGAGTTGGCCCGCAAGCGCTTCAAGGACAAGAGTGCAGAGGAAGCTGTACGTGAGGTACACCGGCTGGTGGAGGGCCGTGCGCCCATCATCTCGGGGGTCACGGTAAGGACTAGGTGGGCTGTGGATTTTGGGTGGGGGGGCACAGCGGTGTCTCCCCTGCCCACACCTCGTCCCCTCCTTTCCTCTGCAGAAAGCCGTCTCCTCACCCACCGTATCCCGACTCACCGATACCACCAAATTTACTGGCTCCCACAAGGAGCGCTTCGATCCATCGGGCAAGGGCAAGGGCAAGGCTGGCCGCGTGGACCTGGTGGACGAGTCAGGCTATGTGCCTGGCTACAAGCATGCAGGCACCTATGATCAGAAAGTGCAGGGGGGCAAGTAGAGCGGCCGCCCCCTGCCCCACACCCAGGGTCCCATTGCTGGCCGCGTCGTGTCACCTTCGTTACATTCCTGTGCTCGTCTGGGCAGAACTCAGACGCTTCCCGGAGGTTAAGGCTGGGGTGCCGTGGGGCGCAGCCCCAGAAACCCCACCTCATACCCTGGGCTGGTGCCCTGACTCACCTGTCTCTCTTGCCTGCCTTGTCCAGTGCATCCAAGTTGTCCCCGGGCCCTGCCACCCTGTCCGTTGTCTGCAGAGAATGGCAGTGATTGTGAGCTGGCAGGTGTGGGGTAAGGGATATACCCGCATGAAGGCCACCCTGACCCTTCAGGAGCTAACACACTAACAGCACAAAAGGTCGTGGGTGGTGTCTGACCCCTAAGGCAAAGGTTCTGCAGCCATGGACAGTAGGGCCTGCAGGCACATGTATGTGCACAGCTGCAGGCCAGTCTGTGTGGGAAGACTTGCCCCAGGCCCCTCCAGGGCTGAGTCCTGGGCAGCCAGTTGCTTGGGCCTGGCTCCTCCTGCCCTGGGTCTTGGTCGGTTCCCACCTGGGTGGCTTTTCCTCTGAACTCACCCCGCCCCGAATCCTGCAGGACACCCCACACCTGAAGCAGGCAGGACCCCAGGGCCAGCAGTGCAGGTTTTCCCACCACGGTGGTTCCTGTGGAAACTGTCCATTTATATAGACAGCCACAGCCTCATGTGTGCCCTGACAGTGCAAGGGATGCCTCCCATGAGCTGCTGGGCCACTGCTGACTGTCCAGGGCAGACTGCCACTGCATGTGACACTGCCTGGTCCTCTTATGAGAGTGGGCACCTGGCCACCACCACCTGAGCAGAGCAGTCCTCTGCACGGACTCCTGCAGGTAGCTCAGGTCAAGCAGGTGACTATGCCTCAAGACCCCTCCCTGGCCGATGCAGTGTTAGTGACCCAACCACAGCCTAGGCCCAGGGAAGGGCCCAGGCATAATGGACCCTGAAGTCACTTCTTTTCTTTCATTCCCACCTCTCTGCCTGTCCGCGTTCCTCCTGGAGCCAACCACCCCTGGGGCACGTGAGGATGCTGGGTCTTGGCGAGAGAACCCAGCCCACAGGCAGGCCCCACCCCAGGCAGCTGACCCGGGCCCAGATGAAGCAGCCCTGAGCAGAAGGCTCACCATGTCCAGCTGGAGTGCACGTCTTGGGCCAGACCCCACCCTTTCCCCACAATGCCTTTTCCTGGCTGCAGCTGTGCCAGGGTTCTGAGGGGAGCAGAGTATGTGTGGTCAGTCCCCTGGTGGCCCACCCCCACACATGCCCACATGTCTCTTAGTGCACAGACCTGAGCAGGCAGCTATTGGTTTCCAGGGCTGCTCTGACCACCTGCTGCAGGTCCCTCAGTGCTGCCATCATGCAGCGGGGCGTTTGTGCTGTGTGCATGTCTACCATGGTCACAACAGGCATAAGCAAGTAACCCTACTGCAGCCTGGGAGATGGGGCCATGCTGCTCTCCAGGAGTGCAGGAGGCACGTGGATTCTGTGCTCAGAGCATGTGGATTCCATGGTCAGAGTGTGTGGAGTCCATGATGGAAGTGTGTGGATTCTGTGGCCAGAGTTTGTGGATACTGTGACCAGAGTGTGTGGATTCTATGCTCACAGCATGTAGATTCTGTGCCAGGTGTAGATTCATGCGCAGCAGGGTGGCTCCATGCCTGCTCCACAGCAAGGGCCTCAAACACACTGGAGTACTTCTGCTCTCTCCACGACCCTATCCCTAAGTCATAACAAATGCAAGTGGTATGGTACCTCCCTGCATGCCTGCTGGCCCCCGTCCTGGGCCAGGGCCTCTGCAGCACCTGTTTAAGGTTCCTCAAATGCACAACTGGAGCAGAGGGCTGACATAGAAGTCAGGGCCCTTGATACCTAAAGCATTTGCCGCTGTCCCTGCCCCCAGAGCCTGCTGTCCTGGGAGGTCATTTCTTCCACTGCCTGTGCCACATGGACAGCCTGTTGCCTGCCCACACAGTGCAGGGGAACAGGCAGACTGTGAAACTCGGAGCTGAGGTGTCCTCCAGACAACTTCAACAGCGACCGACTACTGAAGCCCGACACTGTGGGGAGCCCTGGCAGGTGCTCTGCCATGCAGGGGGTGCTCCCACTCCTTTCCCAGTGGGACAACCACTGCCGGCCTGGAGCAGGTTCTTTCTGAGAAAGGGAAGCCAGGTCATGCAGAGATGCACTCTAGTTTTGCACTGTTCTGTCAGCGCTGCAAAGCCCTGAGCCTGTCACTTGGTCCTTGTGGCAGGCCCTGTCCGCGTCAGGCACACACCCTCCAGTAGCACTGAGGGTCTCTCCCAGGGTGTGAGGTGTCGTGCCACCAGTTGGACTTGTGCCCGGGTCTCGCTTGCAGCCCTCAGTGAAACAGCTTGTGTCTGCACATCGCTCCTTGTGTTTGCTGCTAGCGCATCGTGTCAACTGGTCAAGTGATGTATTAAAGGTGTCACAACCTGGCCAATGTGTTCCTGTGCACAGTCAGGATGGACTGTGTGTGGCATCACCTGGGCCTCAGGGAGTCTGTCACTGCCTGGCTGGGGAAGGGAACAGCATCTGTCAGGCCTGAAGCCAAGACTGGGGTCTGGATCTGGACAGCCTTGCATGGGGAGAGGGAAGAACAGGGGAGGGGAGGGCCTGCACCCTCTCAGGGATAGGGAACCGCACTAATGAAGGAAATGCACTCAGCCATCGTGGACTAGGACAGACAGAATGGTGTGGAGTGAGCCGGGGTATCAGGAGATGGAGCAGTACAGTATGAGGTGACAATGTTTCTGCCCAAAACTGTCTATCCAACACTAATCCCGGAGCCTCCCCTGAAAGGTCACAACACTAGGGACCAATCCCAGAGACATATAACAGGAGGAGCCGCATGGCCCTGTGATGGGTGGGAGCACTGCCAGCTACAGCAAAAAACCCATAAACTCTGACTGGACACAGCTTTCTCAGCCACAGGGCTCCAACAGGCCAGAACATCCAGGGAAGGCTGCTACCAACAGGCCCATGGCAGCAGATGTCTCTCACCTACCCCACTCCTCCATGGCTGGTTCAGGATTGCTTACTAGCTCAAGGCCTCTTGGGGGGGGCGGGTGGCAGGCTGGCAACATGTGTGGGAACACAGAAAAGGGCCCATCCAGGGAGGGGCCAGGGAAACTGGATTTACACACAATGACCTTGATCCTTACAACATGCACAAAAGACCCCAAACAAAATAACAATTTCTGTAGGGTAACACACCGAAAAGTTCTCATGAGTCTGACAGGAATAAGACTGACAGTGCAGGACCTGGTGTGGTGGCTCAGCTGGCTAAATCTTCCCCTTGATGCACTGGGATCCCATATGTGTGCTGGTGTGTCCTGGCAGTTCCACTTCCCTTCTAGCCCCCTGCTTTTGCCCTGGGAAAGCAGCAGAGGATGGTGAAAGTTCTTGGGATCCTGCAGCTGCATGGGAGACCCAGAGGAGGTTCCTGGCTCCCAGCTTTGAATTAGCTCAGCTTTGCCTACTGCAGCCATTTGGGGAGTGAACCAGGGGATGGAAGATCCTGCTGGCTCTTCTCTCTACAAATCTGATCTTCCTTTCCAATAAAAATAAATAAATCTTTAAAAGAAAAAAAAAGTTACCATGCAGCACTTTAGCAACCACAGGCAGGAGTGGGCCAGTGCTCTTGACACAGGCACCCTCAGGGCGGGCCTCAGGCTTCAGGGCTGTACCCTCACCTCCAGAGGCCTGGCTGGCCCACAGCTCTTGGAGAGACACTCCCATTGGCCAGTTTGCTGGCCAAGGCGGGAGGGGGAGCTCCCTGATCCTCTCTGGGTATCCCCCCATGGCCTCAGACAAACAAGTTCCACAACAGCACAGTGGCCAAAGATACCAGAAACTGGTCCATGTTCAACTTAAAAGCTTTTCTTCATTACAAGTGAAGAGGGAACAACAGCTATTTGCACACATAATCCCCAATCCCTTGCTATCAGCATTGTATACATAACTGCTGCAAACGGGTAAGGTGAGACAGCTTTCTCGGAGAACACTGGGGGAGCAGACACTGCAGAACACGTGGCCCCATGCTCCAAGGCACACAGCAAGACTGGCTGTGGGGCCTAGTGTGGTGGCTCAGTGGCTAAATCCTTGCCTTGCAACCATCAGGATCCCATTTGGGTGCTGGTTCATGTCCTGGCTGCGTCACTTCCTAGCCTGCTTGTGGCCTGGGAAAGCAGTTGAGGATGGCCCAAAGCCTCAGGACCCTGCACCTGTGTGGGAGACCTGGAAGAGGCTCCTGGCTCCTGGTTTTGGATCAGTTCAGTTCTGGCCGTTGTGGCCACTTGCCCAAGTGAACCAGCAGACAGATGTTGATGTTTCTGTCTCTTCTTCTCTATGTCAATTTATCTGCCTTTCCGCTAAAAATTAAATAAACCTTAAAAAAAAAAAACACTGGCTATAGAAGGAGGATGCTTATCACAGGACGGCACAGACATGATGTGGGCAGAACTGTGTAGAGTGCCAAGGCCAGGCCCATGGATGGCCAGAGACTCTGGGGTGATGTCTTGAGCACTGCAAGGAAGACTGGTAAGACAGCAGCTGAAACTGTTCCACATTTGATGAAAAATAGAAGACGACTGTCTGAGAAGCTCAACAACACACAAGATGCACAAGATGCAGCCGGCTGATGGCACCCCTCTTCTGCAAGCATCAACACTAAAATCCTAGACTCCACACCAGTCACCTGATGCCCAGAGGATGCCACCCTCGCCCTGCATGACCCATTTTCCAGCCACGTTACACATGCAGGAGCTGCTGAACATGGCCACCAGAGGGACCCATCTTCACATGGGAAGAGACACACAGTAAGAGACCTCGCACCTGTTGGTTTCCTTCTCCAACAGCCACACCAGCCACCCAGACCTGGATCTCCAGCCATGTCTCCCACATGGTGGCAGTGGCCAGAGTACATCCGCTGCTTCCCAGTGCATTAGCAGGAAGCAGTCCCACCAACGTGGGCCATGGCACCTCAACCAGTGTCTTTACCACCAGGCCCAGCTGCCCCATGACTCCTATCTCTGATCTATGATGTGACCTTTATACACCCTCCCCCTCCCCCTCTCAGTCACACACTCCTTCAGGCTCACACACACTCCCTCAGTCTCTCATACACACTTCCAGACACACACACACACACATTCTCTCAGGCTCACACACACACACACACACACACACACACACTCCCTCAGGCTCACACACACACACACTCCCTCAGGCTCACACACACACACACACACACACACACACACTCCCTCAGGCTCATATACACACCCTCACAGTCACTCACACATACTCACTTAGGCTCATGCACCAAAACCCTTACACTCATCACACAGAGCCTCAGTCACACAATATGTCCTTACAGTCTACTCTTGTACACACACATACTAGACCCTTCAGTCTCTCACACACACACTCCCTCAGCCTTATACACCCTCACACTCATACCCAGGCTCACACACATTACTCTCACATTCACACTCAGTATCACACACAGCATACCCTGTCTCTCACACACACTCCCTCAGCTTCATACACCCTCACACTCACACCTAGTTCACACATGTCATACCTCTCAGGTTCAAACATCATCACCCTCGCACTTATCACACACACCCCAATCTCGCACACAACACACCCACACACATTCCTCAGATCCGTACACCATCACCCTCATACACCAACACCCTCGGTCTCACATACGTCTAGTCTCAAATACACACCCACCCTCAAAAACACAGCCCTGCTCCTAGTCCACTCTCTCCCCAGACTCACATATACACTTAGCCAGTCTCACACACATATACACAGTATCACACACACACTTTCTCCTCAGGTTCATTCTTCCTGAACCCTGCTTTAAAAATTGACTTGTTTCTCCTCTCAAACTAGTATTACCTAAGATGAGAGGTTTCCAGTCAGAGAACCTAGCGTCAAATCCTTCACGATACAGCAGGAGGGGAGGCTTGGCTACATACTGTTCTGCTCCACTCTTGCCACAAACAGCACCGTGAGCTTTCCACTCCAATCAGTGCTTCCATCAGGTCTTGGGATGTCTCTATTGCTGTTCACATACCACAACATATAGCTTGCTTTATTCAACAACTCCATGTGAAACACATTATAATTTATAACAAGCCACTAATCAGCTAACTTTCAGAACAAAGTACTTGTTTATTGAAATAGGCAAAGGCCACTAATGAGTTATCTTAGGGAAGCACAAAAAGCTGAGCTCTAGGCCCTGAAAGCACCCTGAGTTGCGACGGGGTGAGGCTGCTCACAAGGTGAAGGAACAGGAGGGTGCGTGCCTCTGGCTCAGCAGGACTGCCGGCCGCTGGGACTGGCGCTGCACTGCGGGAACAGGGCCATGGTCTTCTTGAGCTCCTGGTAGCTCCAGTGCATCTGCTCCACCTCCGCCTTGTGCTGTGCCCGTGCTTGGCTCAGCTCCTGCAGCAGGTGCTCGTTGGTGCTGACCAGGGAGCTGGACAACGACAGTGAGGCAATGGCTGCTCTCTGCAGCAGTGTCTTGCCTGGCCATGTTGGCTGTTCCCAAGTCTACAGGCCAAGGTCTTTCTGCCAAGTCCAGGTCTACCCACCTATCCCTGTGGTCCAATCATCCCCTCCCCACTGACCATCACCCAACTGCCCCTGGCCTCTCAGGCCCAGCTCCTTATTGCCCCGTGCTGTGGAATCGAAGGTCTATGAGTAACATCTCCACCAGCACACCGTTCCCATGCTCAGGAAGACACAGCCACACAGCAGCACCTGCTGGGCCTTCATGCCA